CTCCCTCGCAAGGGCCTCGGCTCTGGGCAGCGGGCATGGGGCAGGCATCACCCCGAGGCGGGTGTCCCCCTCCAGCCCAGCCCGGCCCGGCCCCTGGGAGTCTCCTTCCCCTCCCTCACACCTGGGGGAAACCCCTGCGACTGCCTGGGGCCTTGGGGCAGGGCTGCGGGGCGACGGGGAAAGAAAGAGGGAGTCTGACAGTTGCTGAGAGTCCTCCTGTCTCGTCCATTTCTCCTCCTTGGGAGGTACAAGAGCAAGTGAAGTTACATAATTAAGACTGTCGTGCTCTGGTACAGGCAGAGCCTTCCCTGTCTCTCTCTCTCTCTCTCTCTCTCTCTCTCTCTCTCTCACACACACACACACACACACTTGCTCTGGCTCTCACATACATGCTGTGGTGCACACACACACACTTGCTCTGGCTCTGACCGGCTCTCACATACTCGCTCTGGCTCTCACATACACACTCTCGCGTGCACACACATGCATGCACACCCACACATGCACTCCCTGGCTCTGGCTCCCGCACACACACACACACACCCACACACGCCCACACAGCCAGCCAGAACAGGCTGAAACAAAGGATTACACGGCCTGCCCCCATTCATGGATTATTTGTTAAAGGGATTTTATGCAGGGAGTGCTGCGCGCTGTCTCTCCTGCTATAAAACCCCACTTACAAATAATGAAAATAATAATCAGGGAAAGGAATAGCGCACCCAAGGGACCCTGGTGGGGCTTTGCCAGGAGAGGAGGGGTTGCCCACTCTGAGCACACTGGAGACAAAGAAAAAGCTGTTTGAGAGCTATGCTGGGTTTAGTCTCCAAAAAAAGGTGGTAGCTGGTGTTTGTTACAGAGTCACCCAAAACAGAAAACCAAACGCTTCCATCAGGATACATCTATATGTCGCCATTCAACTTACTGGAGCAGTAATTCGTGTTTTGTATGCCTGCACATTCTTAATGTATGTCAGTACTTTATAAAATACCAATGGATGTAAATTTATGAGAGGAAGTGAACTGAGTCTGCTCTCCATTGTCTCTTCATTTACAGTGTAAGGAGGGCAACCCATGCTGTGGTATTTGTTTGCAATCTTCAGTTCTGCACAAGAGCTACACAGGAATGTGATAAACGTGCAAGAATAATGTAATCCACATTACACAAAATGCATATTCTATCTGTAGTAAAATATTCCTGTGGATTTCTGGGTTTTTAAAATAGATTAAACTATTTCAACAGTGCAAAAATCCCGCCCCCCC